TAGCAAGTTTAAAAAAAAAAAAAGTAAATAAAATTTTTTTGTATTATTTTGATTAAGTGATACTAATTTACAATAATATTGAACTTGAAATTTGTATCTGATAACTTGAAATCATTACCACTGTGCTATTGATCCACAAATTATTATACATAATTGATCTCAAAATAACTTAATTTTGACAATATAATTTAAAAAATGTAAATTTTATTTAAATTTTTTGACCTTACTTTGACTTAATTTTTTTTATTCACTTATAAGGTTACATAACTTTTTTTAAATAGTAATACATAACAAGCAATCAATAAAAATAATAGGCTATAGACCAATACAACTGATGCGTGTATGGACAAATTTATTAATTAAACTATAAAACTTTGTTATTAAATTTAGGATTAGGCATTGGTTAAAACCGTCATATTAGTAAGCGGGTGCATGTTTTTGTAAAGTATACAACATAGATGATATAATTTCACGAAAATTAAATATACTACAATATACTGTATTTTTAGAAACATTTCACACCATACTTTTTAAGTCAAACGGTATGGTGAAAAGTGATTCTTTTCCTTCGGTAATAATGACAAATCAATACCATTCAGATTGAAGACGCATTTAATTGCTCACCCTTTTTTTCAATTAATCCATTAAAAAAATGAAACCTAATTGTATTTTAAAATAATTTATTTGTCTGAATGTCACATTCTTAATTCTACGACCCACGAGTCAACTTAAACCTGTTTGTTTAATTTACCTAACAGCTCGGTCGGTCCCCAAAAGTAATTGTGGTCGTCTCATATGGGCCGGTCGTAAACTTTAATGCGGAAGATAACAACGTTGATCATGCATTACATAAATATGGGTAATCAAACAAAATTTCATTTCCCGTATGTCTAATTCATTATGCAATAAACACTCTTTACATATACCGTACATGTGCTATACATGCGTGCTGTATTTTGCATCAATTGTGCGTCAACTCTGTTCGGTAACGTAACATGTAACGTAAATTGTTAAATCGTCCAATTTAGCAAACCCAAAATGTTAGCGCACGTTTTTATTTCGTACTCCACCCCTCAATTGACTGACGAGAATAAGACGTTGATTCTACGTGACTTCTCCGCTCAACTTTTTCCTTTTATAATTCCAACTCATTCCCACGTTTCCACGAACCGTTACAGAAAGTTTTACTTGCATATAAAATTTGAACGTCCAAGGGAAGAAGAAAGAAGAAAATGAACAATGTGTCATGTGACAATGGAGTTCAACCGCATGAAGTGACGGAACCTTGCGATCGAACAAGTCAAATAATCAAGGATCAAAGTTTCATTGGTTCAGAAAAAAAACGATCGCGATGCTGGTGGTCTCCCAACAAGGTAGCATTGTTAATCACCCTTCTCATAGTCGTGGGAGGCTCGGTGGCAGGATTCTTCCTGATTGTTCGTCCCAATTTCCTATCCACATCGTCTTCATCATCAACTCAGCCCAAGTACACGTCCACGCCGCACATACCCACACCATCAAATGGTGTGATAGATGATTCAAAGGCGCCAAATTCATGGACTCCACCCCTGAATCAACCATTCCCATACGGAAAACAGCCTGTTCGAGGTGTCAACCTCGGCGGCTGGCTGGTACGATCTGATAAATTCTTGACTAATCACTGACTATAAATTCGATGACTGTCACATTTTTTTTTTTTTGATAGGTTTTGGAACCCTTTATCACCCCATCCTTGTTTGAAACTTCGGGGGTAATCGATGAGTTCACTCTATGTGCGTCGCTCGGACCTGACGCAGCAAAAGCAATGCTGGATAAGCATTATTCAACTTTCATTACTGAACAAGATTTCGCGGACATTGCCAAAGCAGGGTTGGATCACGTGAGAATATCATTCGGGCACTGGGCGGTAAACACGACCGCCGATGAACCGTACGTACCAAATCTCAGCTGGAATTACCTTCTCCAAGGAATCGAATGGGCCAGGAAATAT